CTTCATGCAAATGGGCAGCCAAAAGACAGCAACCAAAACCGGCGCACGAATATGCGTGGTTAATGGTTGTTCAAACTGAAACTGAAACTATGCCTTTGTGGGAAAGTACGGGGTTTGTGAGAGTACAGTAAGGATGAGCATGAAGCTAATATTTACGCTGAACTTGAATTACAATAAATACACCCATAAAACGAAGGCAAATAATAATCTAGCTCAAAAAGTATGGCAGTCTTCAGAGCTTTGAGTACTTCGGGAGCTTGATCGCAGCTGGTTTTGCTGTTGTGAAGGAGATCACATCACGAATAGCATCATCATCATCATCGTACAGGGAGATACAGTGAAGCGAACGTCACTGACCGTTGCCATCGCGAATAGCAAATGGTAGAGCAGCTTTCACCAACCTGCGGTACCTGTGGCGCCGCCTTGATATCCAACTGTCCCTCAATTGAAGGATGTATATCGCTGCGGTTCGTAGCGTTCTACATTACGGTTACGAGATCTGGCCCCTCCACGCTAAGGATGATGATCGACCTTCTGTATTTGACAGTCGGTGTCCGAAGCATTGCTGTTGTCTGGTGGGAACATCGGGTGAGTAATGACGCGGTTCGTCGTCGTGTGAGCTTGGATAGTGGCTCTCTAACAGAAGTAATCGCTCTACACCTCCGATGGCTTGGTCACGTATCGCGTATGCCTGACCATCGGCTACCTTTCCCTGCTCTCTTTGCACGTGCTTGGCAAGGTTGGAAGAAGCTCCGCGTCAGTCAGTCCATAACCTGCCATAGAGATATGAAGAAATTAGCTTCAGCTTTGGCTTTGGTTGGTGCAATCCGCCTTCCGGATTGTGGCCCAAGGGATGAGGACTTTCGATCGTTAGAGACGCTAAGAGATATGGCCCAGAATAGAAGTCAGTGGCGCGAATGCTGTACGGCCTGCTGTTGAAATTCCGTGCCCTATTTGAAAAGGATAAACTAACAAAAATATCAAAAAATGTATGGTGAAACGATACATAAAACAGAGATCTTTGGCACTACTGGTTCGTTTGTTTCGTGTCGTTTTTTGTTTTGTTAGCCTTATTCGCATAACATTTATTCAGTGAATATTTTCTGTTGTCACCTAACTAATTCGGATTTCCCGTCTTTCCCTCCCTCGCGCAGGCACATGACAGCTGCACAAATCATCCAGTTCATTGTGGTCATTTTCCACTCGGTGTACACGTTGACTTTGCACGATTGCAATTATCCGAAACTGTTCAACTACATGATTCTCTCCTATGCGCTCATCTTCCTCGTCCTATTCAGTAATTTCTATTCCCAGGTAAGTATTTCGCTCCTATGTCTTATGGCGGCTTTATCTCCCAGCCATCATCTTGGGGGAAGGGGGGCGGGGGGCGGGCGGTCCGATGCATACCTAGGTTCCGGGACGGTCCCGCGGGAAACGGATTTGAAGAACGAAACAAATTTCCCCTAGAGGTTTTTGGGTTTCGGTAACATACCACTGTTTTGTTTGACCACGACGGCCGGAACACCCAGGTAAAATTTTACCAACGCAAAACGAAATCAGAGCCCAACTTAGATGTGGGTATTTTCTATTTCACTATACCCTTGAGTAGAGCGATGAACAACAATTCGCATGGTTCCATTTCACTGAGATTGGAAATTTGTTCGCAAACGTTTCATCACTAGCCGAGGTGATATCGTCGACTAGATCTTTTTCACTTGCATTTATTCCCTTCCAAGATGCAAGACCTTTTTAAAATTCTGATGTACAGAGTTTCCGATGTATTTTTCCACCCCAGGTAAACAACAACGTCATAATCCCTCAAATAATCTGGTTTTAAAAATCTTGGTGGGAAAAGGTTTGGACATGTTTTTGATCAAAATAGTCACGATTCTAGTCTAACTTTCCTTCTGCTGAAGAGATTTCACAGGTTATTGTAAGGTCAGAGAATGCAATACCACGGTCAGTAGACTTCGGAAATAAAACCATATTTTCATTTCGGAAATTCCCCCAGGGTTAATCGATTTGTCAAGGTCCCGCTGTTTCCAAACTTCAGTCGTAATCAGTGTCTCTACGGTGTTCTATATAGAACTGGAATGTTTAAAAGTCTTGGCTCCCCAAGAATATAATGGTGTCTTGTACCATGATGACAAGACGGATGATTTGTGGCTATATTGATCGATTAGTAGGGTATTTTCAAGACTAAGAACGTTGCAACGGTATGGACTGCTTTTCATCTCTACGGCGGTATCCTAGCGACCTAGTTGAATTGGATAATGCGTTGACACAATTGGTCTCCTGAAACTCTTGCACGCATTCTATGATCGATGATCGATTTTTTGTTTCGACCAGTATTTTTCGCACCTAATGTTCAAGTGCGCTTGTTTGTGTGGTGGACAATCATGTTCGACTTGCCTCGTAATCATTTACCTAGTCTATTTTTTCCCCATCATTCATAGTATTTGTGAGTGCACTTGTGTTGTGTATTTACTGTGTTCAAGCTTAGCCAACGGGAATAGGAAATTTACAGCTTTTTCTATTGATACAATCTGCATCAAGTGTCCCGAATCGTACCGCGTGCTACTGGATGCTCACTTGAGTCAGAAAAACAGTTGAAGCCATTTGAACATTTTTTTAACTTTAACCNTATATATCATGTTGCCTTACATTGTTCTCGTCAAAGACACTAATCAGCCACCAGTGCACGTTGAGCCCATTGAGAAACATGTACAAGTTCCTACGAATGACGGTTTCACTAACTAAACTCTCTTTACCACGAATGGCTCCTTGGAGAGCTTAAACTGGATTCATAAGGACAATACTTTTTCCTGGGTGTGGGATGCAAAAAACATCCCCATTGTCAGTCGGCTTTTTTCAAGGGCACACCTGTGTTCAAGTCAAGTCAAGTCAAGTATTTGCTTTATGCACCCCGAAAGGTGGATATTCAGCAGTCAAATAGTCATCTAACAATTATCGAACAAAATTATAGCATAATTATCGTGAGCAGTGAAAATGAATACAATTTAAGAGATAACTGAGTATAGGTCCAAAGCAATGCTTTCTGCGCTGACAAGAAATCGGGCAAGATAGGGCACCACAGAAGACCGATAAGCGGTCGTACGAGCAAATATACACTTATAACAAAATGCGCATTGAAATGCACCTCCGCGTTGCACGGCTAACAGTGGCGCACTGACAGCTCGTTCATCATTCGAATTATGTGGATTCACATCAGGGACACCCCTAACAGTTGGACAGATTTCTTTCTAGCTGTTAGATCAGATAGTAGATCCCTTTTGCCCACTGAGGCCTTACTGTCTTCGTGTGTCGAGACGGCTTTTAGGACTCCGTTTTCCCTATCCCAGTTTAACCCTCTGGCTGAGCAGTTACTAAGGTTTGACCGTTGATAATTACATAATTTCGTGGAATCACAGGTGAGAGTTGGGTGAAGACCAATGGTGCCAAATATGCCGAAGATGAAATGACAGTTTACCAGGTCAGAGATACTGTTCCTATCAAAAACCTCTACACTTCGGCAGTTAATCACATCGTTTAGTGGTTTGTATTTGCATAGAATTTGGCGTGATCGTTCTTGCGTAACCAATATTTTTAGTCTAACCTCATACTTGACAAATCGAACAATTGTTTGACACGTTGCAATACTGCTTTCAGACGCGTATGGAAGGGAATATTTCGAGACTTTATTTGCCCATGTACACTTTTTCGTGCTCTCGAATAGGCTTCCTTGGAGCCGGGTATTTGTCGAGAAGAGCAAACACTAGAAGATGTGTTAGATCGGTTGGAATGATTTGGTAAACTGCCCGGCGGTTAGGTAACTAATTGGGATCCAAACGGTTTTTCAAATCTTTTATATTACACGAATTTGCTGTGTTTTGGTCTCATCTCTCAGTTGCCTTAGAAACGAATTGACTGGTGGGTCGCAGTTTGGTAACTGACTACTCCAATGTGCATTTATTAACGGGTAAAACTAAATGGAGGCGGAAATATGAAAAGTTTCCCGGAAAAATTGGTATTTGAACAATTGACTCTGCTTCGTAGAACGTACGCAATGCCAAAGGATGTAGAGCGTGGGTTTGAGTCCTGCGGAGGCAATTTCAATTTTGTAAATTTACACAACAATGAAGCTTGCAAATATAATTTGCAGTGGCTGTTTGTTTGTCATTTTAGTTTCGTTTCCTTCTCTCTCTTCTCCCCTTGTGTATACTTACCGCAGGCATACAACAAACGAATATCTACTGGGACGCCACGAAAGATGCGCGCTGTGAAATCGCAGTGAAGTTGGAGCGCAATAACACACTTTAATCTATGTATACACGGAGAGAAAGACTATTTTACTTGGAACGATCGGGTCAATTTCTTGCCTGTGCTTTCTGAGTTCCTGCGAATGTACCATCAGGCTGATTTGCTCGCACCGTGCCAGGAAAACTACCTGTTCACTGTGGTCAAGTCCTCTTCCGTTACTGCAGCTTAATGAATAGAATATCTCTGTTTTCCAGTTCAGGATTTCTGCCATTTGTGCATACACACATCCATATATGTATATTGATACAAACACTCGTCTGTCTACCGTTACAGATACTCACCTTGGTAACTTTTGCCCCGGTTCTCATGATGCGGTGTATCGCGTATACATGTGTTGTGATTATCCTGCCACATACACACACGAGTGCGTGCAAGGATATAAACAATCATACACGTGCGCACACACACGAATTGCCATTTCCATTCCGGTTTTGTTCGCACCCACCCTGACCGCTATTCAGTAGCATGCGCTCCCATACCCTTCAACTTCACCCGCGAAACTGCACTGCTCCAGTGGCGAACATCTTTTATTGTTTTACTTTCCCCTTATCAACATCATCATCTTTCCCAGTTTTCTCATCCCTTATTAATTTCCAAACCTGTTTGATGTCTTTTTTGACGAGTATACTGGCGCTTATTCTTCGTTTTCTTCATATTTTCTATCTGCTTTTCCACAGTCGCTCGAATTCTTATTTAATCTGGGTTTGCTCTCTCAAATCAAGGTTAACTCGTCCCAATTCTCATATTGCCAAGCTCTTAGTATTTTACAAACCGTTTGGGTATCTTAGTTTCCTAGGTTTCATTTCCATACGCACATCCGTGTAGACGCAGCCGTGCTGCCTCTGTATTCAAGAATGTTTTTGATCGTAGTCTACTTTTGCATAAGTCCAATCCTCTTCCGACTTCTTATAAACTTTTTTATTACACACATCTGCGTGATGAACAAGAGCAGGGACGAACCTTGTGATTATGAGCGTTTACCGCTCAGTTTGAGTAACGGAGACATCAACTCTTTACATTTGAAGTGATCCACTACGTTATACCCGATAGTAATCGAATGTTGTCATGCCAGTGGTACAGAAGAGTCTGTTGTTGACTGCCGTTGGAGGCGTTGTTATCTGCTGGTTGTCCGTGGTAGATTCCTAGTTCATTCTGAGCGAGAGGAAGAACTAAGAGTGTCTGATCGGTGTGTTTGCAGGCGTCACGTGAAATTCTAGAGTCGCCATATCGGATTCCATAACTGTCTGTTGACCGTTGAGATCTCTAGCAGGCAGATCAAACCGAACAAAACCACAGCCGGAAACCGTACTCTGACTAAGCTACATACTGCATCGATCCTATTGGGGCTTGTAAGTTTAGATCCCATTCTGATCACATGATAGGATAGGTCTCTGTAATCGCCGGATTATTATTCTCCCCTTAGAGTACCACACAAAGTTAGCAAACAGCCCACATTCACGCCTCGTCAACCAGTCGATTACAGTACAATATGAAATGAGTCTGATGATTAAATGGGGCAGATATTTCTGCTATTTTCAAACCACATCTCGTGATAGGCAGTTTCTCCTAAATACATATAAGCTTTATCTACCGTTTCAAACCCAGATATCGTATTCAGTTTGGATCGTCCCATTAGACTACCACCAACCATTTTGAAAGGAACACAATGTAGCGAACAATGCTTGTTCCAGTGTTTTGTTTTCTTTGGCTAAGGCATCACGATTTATATAACTTGGATAAGATACGGGGAGGGGGCGCGGAGATATTACTTACAAAAAATATTGATAAAAATGTATTATTTAATCATTCATTATTCTCATTTTTTATAGGTAGCATCTCTGCCCTCGTATTTTATCCGAGTAATATAAATCGCGTTTTACTAGCCAAAGTAGACGAATCACCGAAAAAAAGTCAAGTCGTGTTGTATTCAAAATTCGGTTTGAATTCTACAACCCTTAATCAACCTTGCTCATTTTATCTGCTGGTTTGATTACTGTCTTCCTTTTATCCGTTTGGTCGAGCAGTGAAGGAAGTAAAATTAGGAAAAAGTACCAATATAAGATGTATCGTTCAGGATCAGTCACACACTAACGCACTGAGAGATACGGGGTAGGTCCGAACACTACGGAGTGCGTACCTCAACGGCCACACTAGTTGTCTAGCCCGGAAATTACGATCACTGCACAGATTGGACGCCACGAGCATTAGTAGCCTTCTCTCAGTTACGTAAGCAAGAACATAGACGATGAGTGACAAACGTATAATTGACGAGCAAAGAGCAAATCAAAATTACAATGTCAGCTCATCTGCTTATATGCTGTTCCGGTCTCGGAATATAGCGACCTTGAAAATTGATGCAAAAAATAAGATAATTTACGGGCTTGACCAATCAGCGAACGCCAACTTGGAGAGAGGGTAGGCGATTAGAGCAGAAAAGCGGCGCAAAACAAAATTTAAATTGTAAAAAGGTAAACTTGAAAATACTCCAAAATTAGACAATTTTAGGTAAAAAAAATAGTCTTTTTACCTAACATAAAAACAGAATGCATCGGTTATGCACTACCCTCCCGTTTGTACTGCACTTAGATTAACCCATTTGGGATTTGAAGAGTGCGGACCTCCCGCTTGGAAAGCATGGGTTAGGGTGCGCGAAATTTTAACTTGCACCTCTATCGAGAAACATGATATGGCACTCGAAAATGAAATAACCCCCTCCTTGCTCAAATGGAAGTGCATCATGACTGTGAGTGGTTATTTCGTCTTCCTGGTAGAGAGCGCTCGTGGATTTTACGCAAGCCCTCAAAATCTGTCACAAACAAAATTCTCGATGAGACCACCCAAATTCTCTTCGGCCGAATTTAGATCCTTCTGAAGGAAAGCCGAACAGTCGAAAGTCAGAGAAATCGAGGTCTCTAGAAAACAGCCAAACATGAATTGTCACAATTGTACCGGATTGTCGTCCAGTGGTAGAGCGATGAGCAGAAAACGAACCCCCAAGACCACTCAAATAGAACACGAGTTCCATGATCCACGTGAACTGAAAATGTGTTCAATATACGTCAAATGTCTAGCAATCCGGATCAGAAACCAGGTAAGATATGGCAGAGTGGAACAGGATCAAGGTCAAGCTACCCAATCGAATTATTAGGCGCCAAGTATTGTATGGGGATAAACAACCACTCAGTCCATGGGGTTGGGTTAACTGTTGGTAATGCAGGGGATACGAAATACACAAGAATGAACAGAGCCTACTGATATTGATCAAACAATAGTTCACAGTTAAGCAGAAAAATCGATACGGAAAGATTTGACCTAAAGCTTGATGCGGAATGTTTAATGTTCAGTTAAATCAAAGGGGAGGAGGAAATCAAATATCACTAGTGCCGACTAAAGACATACTGGTGCCAACATGTCACAAAAATGTGTCAGGCTGTTTTAATCACAGTTGTGGGTTGAATGGGCCTCAACATATTTACCAAAGTGTATCAAACGAGTGATAGTCAAGGGGTTTGTCAAGGACTGAATATTCTGTGCTCTGGGAGCGATGAACGGGAAACGGTCTAAAGCAAAGAACAAGTTCACCACAATGTCTGATAGGAGTCAACGGGATGGGATCAATAGTACGTATGTGATTGAATCTTGAATGAACTGACTCCGAAAATGTTAGATCACTCCAATACTGTTCACAGAATTCCCACTGGAAATTATGCTGCTGGCACAAATTAAACCATTTCGCCCGGAATTGTTTTTGGATTCCGAGTAACTTCTAGTTAGTGATACCATTTCCCACAAAATTTCCCAGCAAAAATGCATCTCAAACGGGATGGTGCATTGGTAACCACTGGGAAAACGTTCGGGAAGCCACAAATACTGCTCTGATTTGTCTCATGGGACTCAACACCGTTTCGCGACACCAACCCCGCGCTACTTTCAGTCCCTCTAGGTTCCCTAATTAAATATCATGTGAAACGAATCGATTGTCAAGATGTTTTTGTTGCACTGTTTTTCTCTAGCAATCAGATGTGGATGCAATTTATCCTAATGTGGAAAAGGATCAGTTCGTTGCTGAATAGTGGCAAAGTACCTAAGGTCAAATCTGTTGGATAAAAGATACTGCAATTTCGTCGTGTTCAGTGGTGGCTTGAAGAATGTACAAGTGGGCGAACCCAATCTGGGTCGCCGGGTCAAGGTAAAATAGTTTCTTTTTTTCTGGTTATGTACTTACTTTTGATGTAATACATGAATTAGCAAACAGTTTCTCAGGAAAGAGGAATTGGTCTGTCAGCGGCAGTGGAGGAGGATCTGTGATGGATTTCAAACACACGACCTCCCTGGTGCTCCTAACCACTTGACCACCATCGCTCAAATTATCAGTAATTACATTCACAAACGGAAGTTTCTTAGTCTCAAATACCACAGAAATAGCGGTTTATAAACGATGGAGAAGCAGAATGTAACAATAAATTTATAACCACTTTTCGCGAC